CATTTGTATCCATTGAAGATTGAAGTAACTATTCACCCGCTTACACCTAGTAGGTTCATAACCAGACGCAAACAATCTATCCGGTAATCCAAGCTCATCCATCCTGGAGGAATAGAAATCAAATATGTCAAAAAATCAAATATGTCAACCACTTTTGCACTATACTACATATACAATATAGTATAGAGTAAGACTTCATCTTCGCCTTACTATATTAAATGTCGCTTATTCTCCATGTCTGAAAACTATATCAGAAAACTACGAACCATACTGATTATGAAATAGTTAATTACAGGCGAATATGATATCAGTCAGTTGATTCGATTATAAATTAAAAGATTCCCAAAATTGAAACCCCAACAATAACCGCTTAGTACACGTGAATCCATTGGACACTAAGTTCTTATGAATATATACAGTATCAAATCTATGAAAAACTCCGGTCTAAATGGTGAGTTTGAAGATATATGAACAATCATCCGGTTCTTCTCCATAACCTAAGGATTTCTCTTAATTACTAACTAATCGAAACCTCAGAAGATCTACAGTCGGAAATAAAACAGTCATAAAACATAACAGAATCGAGAAGAAACCCAATGATGACGAACACTGCTATTTTGTTTCTTCCGAAATTCACAGATTTAAATTAAATACTAACCAGATCTATAGCATATAAATATCGAATTATCTTTTCCAATCGTCTTGTTTAACGCGCAGATTTCTTATAGACTGTAAACCTTTTCTATATTTCAGTCTCCTTCTTCTTCGCACTTACAGAGAAAATTGAGAAAATGGCACAAGACCCGACAACGTTTTCTGGTTGCCTTTTAAATTTTCTATTTATTATTTTCTTTATTAATTTTTAGGCTGCTACGTGTATAAACACACCCTATATTTTCCGCTCATGCACAAAACCTACTAAAAGACTAGAAACTATTTTTATCATAGACCTATGGAGTCTTTCAGGAATATTACATAAAATATAAAAGATATCATAACCATGGGTTAATATGGTTACAAAACTAATATTGGCTCTCAATATGGTTATTCATCACAGTTTTCCTAATAATTATAAATAATAGAAAAAAAATCATGTCATTTACTAAATAAATAATTTTCTGAATTTGAATTACAGAATAAGTCATTTATGGTAATTACTAATTAGATCACTTTATTTTTTTAAATTATATATGGGTAATTTTTCTATTTGGCATGAAAACAAGTTTATAGGCCGAAAAACAGATACAACCAGTTCTTTATTCTTTAATATATTTTATTAAACGTTTAACAATTTATCTTTCTTTCTAAAAAAAATTTTGAAAAATCTTTTTTTTCTTCTGAAATCTCGACCTCTTGATTTCCTGATGAACAGAGATGAAGAACGCTTCTACTTAACGCAGATGCAGATCGACGACCTCGACGGCGAAGACGACTTCTGTATGGAAATGGCAAGCATGAAGAGGACTCATATTGCGATTCGGCACAGATGCAGATCAAGGCGGAGGATGAGTACGGTAGAGTACGGAGAGGATTCGGATTGCATATTCGCTGTAGATGCATATCGAAGCAGAGGATGAGTACGGTGGAGAAGGAAGAGGATCGTATTGCAAATTCTCCATAGACGCATATCGAGGCAGAGGATGAGTACGATGGAGCATGAAGAGGATTCAGATTAAAGATTCGGATTACAGAATCGAATTGCAGATCGAGGAGGAAGATAAGGTGCAGAAGAATAGACAGCGTAGGATGAGTAAGGTGGAACATGAAGAGGATTACACATAGGTTAATTCGGGTGGTTGAATTATAAGTGATTTAAAAATGGTGATTCCAAGAGTTTGTAGAATGTAATCTCTTTATTGAAAATGTAATCTAACGATTTGAAATTAAAAATGTTACTAACGATTTAGAAGGCATTTAGAGAATGATTCATAAATAGTTTGTGTCTATGAATTGAACTGTTTGTGTAGTGTTTGAAATTATTTTGTTAAAGTTCTAGTACACTTATCTTCGAAAACGACTAATAAAAAGTTGTTATATTGTTATTTGTCTGGTGGGTGGATTCTCGTGGACAGATTATTGATTTTAAGTTATGGATAATCATGGAAAGTATAAGGTTGTATGTGAATGATTTTTATTTATATGCTATGGATGATGAGTTATGTTGGAATAAATATTCTGTGGATGAGTTGAGAAACAGATAAACATATTGTTCATCTCAATAGATGTAGTTTTAAACTCTGATTTGGTAATGTATTAGTCTTGCATAGTTATGAACACGTTTGTGCGGATCCATTTGTGTGGACAAGGTTAAGTGGATATGTTTGTGTTAACATGTTTTATGTGGACATGTTTATGAGCATATTTTCCCCCTTGTGATTTGTGTTGTGAATATGTTTTGATAACTATATTGTTGTGAACAACAATTTAGATAATATCTATTACAAAATTACGAACAAAGTATTGTAGGCTTGTTATGATAGACAAAGATGGACATATACGAAAAAAACAGTTTGTAATATTTTCAAACAGAATCACTAAGCACATGCAAACACCATAAGTTCATCAATCATTTACATAATTATTTAATATAGACATGGACAACATATCATCCACAATTACTGGTTTTGACGGATCAATAAACATATATTTTTAGTTCATACGTAGCATCAGCTATCTCCCCCCAATTGACAATCGTAATGTTTGAAATAGAGAAGCTTACTTGTAAAAGGCATAACTAATTTGTATGGATAATGAACTTTACTTGTAAAAATAATGGCTAATTAGTATGGACAATGAACTGTGGACAATGAAATATGGACAATCAATCTTTTTTCTTTTTTTTTGGTTAAATATGGACAATGAATCTTAATTGTACAAGTCATTACTAACTCGTATAGACAATAAACTGTAGATAATGAACTGTGGATAATGAACAGTAGATAGTGAACCGTAGATAATGTATCTTATATTTTCTACATCAAGTTGTCGTTTTCGAGTGAGCGAGAAGATTTCTTGATACTAATATTTTGAGATTTCTCAGTCAATCTCTCCTCATTATTGTTCTCCATCCTCAACCAGTCACTTGAAACTGACTAATCCAATCAGATAAATTAGATTAAAGAATTCTAATTTCTCCCTCTGTGTTCCTTTATTCTTATGAATTCAGTTAGACATTTGAAGTAAAAAAATTATCAGATGGATGAAGCAGAAAAATCCAGAAATTTAAAAACTGTACAATCTTAATTTCTTGATGCAATCAAATAAAAAAATAAAAAAATTTAAAGTATAAACTTTTAATTCTATAATTTTATTTATAAAGTCACCAAAGTAGTGATGTAGGGAGCGCGATTATTTTCGCAACAGCAAACACTGGCGGAAAAAAGCTTAAAGCTAAAAACTCAAGTTGTGAAAGAACAAGTTCAAACCTCTTCTCGTATCTACTATACATTAAAGTGCAAACATTAGAAACTATTTTGGTGATATGTCAACGTTATAATTTTTTTTAGTTTTTTAAAATGTATTTAAAATTTTTTATGTGTAAGGTATTTAAGTTAATATAGTGAATTAATTGTCAAATGTTTTGTTTTTTAATATATATGTTAAAATTAATTACTAAACATTATCTAAAGTAATAAATGAAATCTTAATAATAAAATTTTAAAACTATTTAATTAAAATAATTAAATAATATATATCAAATTTATATGTAACAAAAGCTAACAATTCACAAAATTGAATATGAATACTAGATAAAAAAGGATAATAAGATCTTTTCTCGTATCTAAAGTAACCTAAATCCCAATAAAGTGACTTTTGATGTAAAATTCTCCTTGTAGGGGGTGCTTAATTCTGATTAACCGAACTAATTTTGATTATATAAAGTTGGATACATCAAAATTAGTAATTTATATTATCGTGACATGCTGTGAATCATTCGATTCAGATTTTGACATGTGTTGCGATTAAAATTAAAAATAAATATAAATTTAGAAAATATCACTGTTGTTAAAAAAAGAAAAATAAAATACAACCACTACAATATCTAAAATAAAATAATAATAATATATTTCATTTAAGAAAAAAAATCTTAAAAAAAAAATCCTAAAAAAAAATATTAGTCACATCTTTATAGATATATTAAATCTTTCATAATTTTACTATGCTGATTTTTTCTCTTATAATTCTCTTATACTTGACATAAAAAATAAGATGAGAAACTGATGAATCGATGTAAAACAATCAGATTTTCGGAAGCAAAATAAAGGAGAAAGCCGATTTTCCTTTGTAATATGTAGCAAATTTTATATGTTAGTAATTGACATGATCGTGACACATGTCAAGTTTTTCGATTAAGATTTTGAAACGTGTTACGATTAAACTAATATTAAAACATAAATTATTAAAATAAAGAAAATATAACAACTACAATATCTAAAAAGGAAGATACTGAAAAAACTATATATTTCAACTAAAAAGGGAAAAACAGTTTAAAAAAACAAGTAAAGACGAATCTTAAAAGAATAAGAGAATTATTACTCATATCTTTATAAATACATAAAAACATTTATAATTTTTCTACGCTGATTCTTTAAACTCGAACTAATTAGATAAGATGAAAAACTAATGAAGCGAAAAAAAGTCAATCAGAATTGTAAAAGCAAAATAAAGGTGAAAGCCAATTTTGCTCTAATACTATTTTACCAAATCAGATTCTCGATTAGAATTTGTTAGAGAAAAAATGTATTTGTGAAAAATATAAAAGTAAATACGGAATTAAAAAAAAAACCAGTTTCTTAAATCAGTTTTATTATAAGCCGTTTTGAGAAAATTATTTATAAATTTTAAAACCAGTTATCTATAAACCAGTTATCTATAAACAGAAAATCCCAAAAACTCATAAAATCTATCTGAAACGGAATCGAAGTCCGATTGAACACACCCCTTCGTGATATATTTTGTTGTTGTTAGTCAAACTTGCAAAACTCTCTGTTGAGTTACAGAAAACAAAACTCAATCGCCGGCGACAATGTCAAAGCTCACACTTTTCTTCTTTCTTTCATCTCTCATCTTCTCCTCATCACTTGCTTTTCAATCAGACGAGCTCCTCGTTGACGATAATGAGTTTGGTCTCGAAAGAGCGAAACCCCAATCCACCGAACTATACACCTCTTCTTCTTCTTCTTCTTCTCCGCAGCAGCAACAGACTTCGACTATCCGGAGAAGGTACTCGGATCCAGATTTGGATTCGAAAGTCCAATTTACTCTCGAACATGCCTTCGGAGACTCTGATTTCTCCATCGCCGGCACTTTCTCAGCTCGTCTCAAGACTTGGAGCCATGGCGGAAAGGTCCTGCTTCTTCTCTGGATCCTTTTCCTCTACTCTTTCTTTTTGGAAGTTTCTAATTTGGTTTTTCAATCGCATAGCTTGAGATTCAGTTTATTGACTTCTTAGGATTTTCTATTGCATCTAGTCATGTAAATCTTTGATCTTTGTGGATGCAGACATTAACGAAGCTGAGGTTCTCAAGGAATGGTTTTTCTGAAGAAGAAAAAGATACATTCAAAGTAAAAGATTCTCTCAAGTTGTTTTTTTTCCTCCAATTTTCACCTAGAAGTTGATAAATGTATTTGATTTTGATGGAACCCATTTGTAGAATCTGCTGAAAGGAGATGACTTTTATAGGATTAGAGTCCCATCTAATGTGATCATCCCACCAGGGAAAGAGTTTGTGATTGCATCAGTGAGAGCTGTAAGTGAATTGTCAACATTTTATTTTAATTTGATTTGTGATATTATTTGATTGTTTGCTATTGCTTTCTCAGGAGTGGTTCTGTAGTTTACTGGCTTTGTTTTCTTTACGCTTTATAAAAGACATGTTCTTTGTAACAATGGTGTCTGCTGTTGAATTAAAGATTAGTACATCCAGTTTCACTCATTGAACTCCTACTAAATTACTGTTTTCTAGTAAAGTCTACCCATCTCTACTCTTTCGAGATAAGAGATCTTGTTTGTATAATTGGTTCTGAATGAAATGACTAGTAGTTCTCTAAATCACATCCAAATTTCTTTCTAGGCCAGACTAAAAAAGACAACCTAGAATCACTAGGATTTGTTGAAGTCACAGTCTTTTTATAAATTTGGTTTCCTTCATTTCGTTTCTCGCTTTTCCGTCAGGTTATGTGTGTGATTTTAAAACAATTTACATGTTTGATTACAGAGATGTCTACCACGGGATGGCTTGGATGAGCATTTCCTTATACACATGGTTAAAAAACGTTTCTGAGCTCAAAATTTGGCTTGCATCCTATCACTCTATCTACTCTGTGAATGACAAATACTGGGACAATGAATATGAATTTCAAAATATGTACTGGCTTCGCTTGCAGGAAGGTGCCAACATCTTGGCAGTTAGTTATGGTTCTCTTGGGGCATGTCAATATCCTCGACAGTTCAAACTTGTAAGTGAAGACTACTATCCATCTTTATCTTTTTATTTCAAACTTTAACCGAGATAGTCAAGACATGGATTTATCCTCCTTTGTCTTTGGTCTAAATTCTGATGTACTGATAAGTTATGAATGCAGACGATGTCATTGAATCATAATGCCATTTTTTTCTTGGATTCAACATATTCTTACTACCCTATTGCACCTTCTTTAATTTCTCCATTTCTTCACTATGTCTAAGCGTTCGGTTATATGTTAATAGATCCGCAAACACAATTCATGAGGAAATACCTTAAAAATATAAGAAATGTGGGAATTATAGTCCTAGGATCATTGTAAACATTCCACAATTGTAGAAAGTTCTTGTCCCAAGTGAAATCTGAAACCCTGAATTTATGAAAGAAGAAGGTTACATGTTTGTTTAATATCTATATACGACCTAATTTTTCTTCGTTTTTTCGCTTAATGTAGCCAGAAAAATGGTCGTTCAACTCCCACACAATTCTGAAGAGTAGTGAGCAAGCACCAAGGTAGAACAATTATTGTTTTTTTTTTAATCTAATAGCTTAACTTTTACACGAATTTGCACATCTATATTTTACTTGTGTGCATTGTTGTGCACTTGCAGTGATAGCTAGGGTTCAAACTATATCAGTGACTAGTTTTCTTCTTAGTCTCATTCATCCTTACCTCACTGTTCCACAGAACTCCAATATTCACTGAGGAGATTCAAGGCGGTGAAAATGCAGAGGGCGAAGTTGAACCACCACCAGAGAGATCATTCTGGGCGAAATATGTGAGTATAATACAATAAAGATCTTTTGATGGATTCTTTATGTCTTAGATCTTGATGTTAAAATTTCTTTATGATACTCCAGTGGATGTACTTGATACCGTTGGGACTCGTAGTGATGAACGCCGTGACACAAGCAACAAACATGGCTGAGGAACAAACAGGTGGGCAAGCAGGAGGCTCACAAGTGCAGCAATCTGCCAGGAGAAGATGATTTTCACTTTTACTTAACGCAAAGCAATCTCAAAGGGACCCTAGATCAAGTAATGCTTGGGACGAAACCAATATTAGATGCTGTGGTTTCGGGTATGGGGATTACGGGCGCAGAACCTCATAGTAATTAAAAAAAAAACAAAAAAACAAAATCAATCTCAAAGACAGAGCAAGTCGCAGTTTCTATGAGCAAAGGTAGAGCAAGTAGCAATTTCTTTGACTAAGTTTCTTTTTCACCGACATGTTCTTACAATTTTATGATCTTATGTGAATACATTTATATATGAGTATTTGAAATGAGTTATAAGATTGTTTTTACGTATGTGGTTGTTATTAGCTTATGTTGTTGCAGTTGCATGCAATTGGTAAGATATGAAGATTCAACAGTTCTCATCTCTTAGCACTGTCTCCATTTAAACCATCTTTTTTTCATCATTTGTTTTTATGTAACCTTTAATTTTAATCCTCGATCGGTTTTGTTTGTATGCAAGAAGTGGGAAATCAAATTTTTTTGAACTTGATATCCTCTTTCGACTTGACGATTCATGATAATTTTAACATTGAGAATCTTATAATGTCTTGTTTTTATCACTTTTAACTAAGTTGCTTGTCAACTTGAATCTTATTTTCTTTACCATTTGTAAAATTGTGTTTAGGTAGATCGTTAATGTTCTTATTGTTTTGAAAAAATTGTTTTATTATTGTGTGTAAAAACATTGAAAATAAAATATTCTAAAACAGAGTATAGATTAGTTTATTGTTGGACTAATGCTAGTTTATTTGGTTTAAATAACCTTATGTCACTTGTATATAAAATATTTTATTTTTCATATCTTTTATTATATGAATTAATATAAGTTTTTTTTATTTTGGGTTTAGATATTATATTCTTCATTTTGCAGATAATATTTCTATTTTTATTATAACAAGGATGAAAGGGTTTAGATATTCTATTTTCAGTTATTAGTTTATCGATTTTAAATAAAATAAATCATCTATTATTAAATAATTAAAAATGTTTATTTCAAGTTTATAATATTTTATAAAAATTTCTCCTAAAATTAGAGATAAATTCTCAAAATATTTTAAATTTGGTTTTAAAAAGCAAGAAGATTTTTTTTTTAATAACATGGAAACTAGTTTTCATTATTAATCTACTATACACGTTCAAAACTTTTATTCATAACATTTTTCATTAATCAAGTGATTTTTTGCCCACAATTTCATAAAATTGGTTTTTGTTGTAAACTTAATGCTTTATAAAGAAAAGCAAAGAAGAGTTTAAGATCTTTTAAATTTCGGAGAGAAAGAGAGAAAGATGAACATAAGAACTTCATTTTTTTCTTCTTCTGAACTTATGATTTTACAAAGAATGAAGTTACCTATTTATAGGAAAAACCTTACTTCATAGTGAAGTAAGGTAATTTATAAAGACAAAACATATAGATAAGCATTATCCAAAACATATGGATAAGCATTATCTAAAACTTATGGATAAACATTATCCTTTAATATGATGTATAAAGATAAAAGGAAATGGATAATCACTATCCATTTAACACTCTCCCTTGATTATCCATCACTAATGATGTAATATGTACTGCATCGTTAAAAATCTTATCATAGAAAAACCCGTGTGGGATAAAACCATGACAGGGAAAAGAGTGCAGTAGCGCTCCTCTTCGAAATGGCGCATGAGTATCCATCGCTGTGAAGTTGCGTGCTGCCTCGTTAAAAATATTTCCATGGAAAAACCCAATGGGATAAAAACCATGATAAAGGGAAAAAGAGTACAGCAAAAGCAAACTCCCCCTGGAAAAGATGGATCTCATCCTCTCTTCACAAATCTCGTAGATGCCGCATTCCGATGTTGTGAACATGTTTTCTGAATATTGTAGTGGGAAGTGCCTTCGTAAATAGATCAGCTGCGTTGTCGCATGAACGAACATATTGAATATCCACTTCTTGATTTTTCTCGAGCTCCTTTGTGTAAGAGAAAAATCTTGGAGGGATATGCTTCGTTCGATCACTTTTGATATAACCTTCCTTAAGTTGACCAACGCATGCAGCATTATCTTCAAACACTTTTGTTGGTTCTTTGTCTGTGATTATTCCGCTTGCTTCTTGTATGTGATGAGCTATCGACCGAAGCCATACACATTTTCTGCATGCTTCATGAAGCGCAATAATCTCCGCATAGTTTGAAGAAGTCGCGACCAAAGTTTGCTTTTGAGATCGCCAAGAGATCGCAGTTCCACCAAATGTGAAAACATATCCAGTTTGCGACCGAGCTTTATGCGGATCAGACAGATATCCTGCATCTGCAAAACCAACTAGACCAACCTTGGGGTTTCTAGAATAATATAATCCAAATTCAATCAAACCTTGAAGATAACAGAATATATGCTTTATTCCATTCCATTGCCGGCGCGTCGGTGATGAACTATACCGTGCAAGTAAGTTAGTAGCAAATGCTATATCTGGTCTAGTACAATTTGCAAGATACATAAGGGCACCGATAGCGCTCTCAACCTAATTATTTGGGTAATGAATTTAGCGAAAGCCGTATTTCGTGTGGTCAATAGACACACATGTGACCATCTACTAGATGCGTCAATCAAAACCATGAAATACTTAAACGGCCCGCATTGTGGGTGGATCGGCCCACATATATCACCATGTATTCTTTCTAAAAATTCTGGTGATTCATTCCCAACTTTGGCTGGTGATGACCGAGTTACGAGTTTTCCTTGAGAACAAGCATTACATAAAAACTCGCCCATTTGTAATATTTTTCCGTTTTTCAACGGATGGCCATTAGAATTTTGCACAATCTTTTTCATCATGACTGAACCAGGATGGCCTAACCTTTCATGCCAAACTTTAAATGTACTAGTAAACTTCTGGTTTACTGTAATATATGATCCAATCATACTTATTTTTGTGCAATATAATCCAGAGGATAACATTTTCAATTCTTCCAATATATGTTTCCTCTCTGATGTAATGCAAAGATATTCAATGTCATTCTTATTCATAGTCTCTATATGATATCCATTTCCGCGGATATCTTTGAAACTTAATAAGTTTCTGTAAGACTTTGGGGAATATAATGCCTCATTTATCTCAAACTTTGTTCCCCTTGGCATTGAAAAACTGACTCTTCCGGAGCCCATAATAATTTTTGCATTACCAGATATCGTATTCACGCTTTCAGCGGAATCACTTATTTTGAGACTGGAGAAATACTTTTTATCTTTAATAATCGTGTGCGTTGTAGCACTGTCTGCCAGACATATTTCTCCATCCATAGTCTCAAATTCTGGCATTTTCTGAATTTAAAATATTCATAAAAGATGTATTAATAAATATTAAACACATACCTGGCAATATAGCTTATGGTACAATAGGACCTACAACAAAACATTTAAAAACAGAAACATATAATACATCAAAACCATTAAGCTTTTGTCTTTCAACGTCCCAACCATCATCCTTTTCTTTCATTAAATTTGTCCATCACACTTACTGTAAGTGGATTACTCAACATTCTCCCCTAGGAGTGGAGTTAATTTAGATGGACAAAACTGATGGTTTCTCATCACGAGTTTATTATATTATTAAGCTACCAGGAGGATTTATATCAACTCCGAGCTTTGGGTGAATTCTCTCGCCTGGAGATTCAACCACTTATTTTCCAAGATCTTCAGGATCTTTACTCGTGATGGATCATTTAAACCATCATGGATATGGTGGCGTAAAAAGATCATGATATTTGCCTTATTTCATCGAATATCGTTTCCGACATATCGATAGTGCTCAAGAGATCATTTCTCTTTATATGCAACTTTGCACCTACCGCCCAAGACATATAATTCTTTCCACACAAGTCAAGGGTGGCGATCTCGAGCTTTGACAAATTATTACTCAATAACAAAAGCTTAATTTGTTAGATTAAAAATTTGAGCATAGTAACGGCATAATAAAGGACAATAATTAAAAGCAATATGAGGAGGCAGAGCCTACCATACAATTGCTGATTGCATAAATAAATAAATAAACAAATATGGGAAGTTTTAATCACCCACACAATAAATAAATTAATTAATTAAATGAATAAACAAATAAATAAAGATGGGGGTTTTAATCTCCCACTCAATGATCCGAGGAGACATAGTCTACCATGTGATCATTTAGATCGTGAAGGCATAGCCTACCATAACGATCTGCTCGGAGGAGGCAGAGCCTACCATCCCGGCATAATAAACAATATAATTATTTGATCGTGGAGGCAGCGCCTACCATAACGATCAGCTCGGAGGAGGCAGCGCCTACCATCCCGGCATATATAAACGGAGAAGGCAGAGCCTATCTTTCCGTAAATAATAATATTCAAAATAAATTGAACATAAATGAATCTTACCTCTCTGGTATAGATCTAACTCCCAGATATAGATCAAGAGACGTTCGTGCTGATAACGTGTTGTAAACTTAATGCTTTATAAAGAAAAACAAAGAAGAGTTTAAGATCTTTTAAACTTCAGAGAGAAAGAGAGAAAGATGAACATAAGAACTTCATTTCTTTCTTCTTCTGAACTTATGATTTTACAAAGAATGAAGTTACCTATTTATAGGAAAGACCTTACTTCATAGTGAAGTAAGGTAATTTATAAAGACAAAACATATAGATAAGCATTATCCAAAACATATTGATAAGCATTATCTAAAACTTATGGATAAACATTATCATTTAATATGATGTATAAAGACAAAAGCAAATGGATAATCACTATCTATTTAACAGTTTTCCATTTTTGGGTATATTGACTTTTTTTTTTTTGGTTTAAAGGTATATTGACTTATGTTTGTTAGAAATATCTTGTTGATCTCTCTCTTTCAGCGATGACTATCAATTTTCTTCCCTGACCTTCATAAAATTTTTCCTCCTGATTTTGTTCACTATGTTGGAGTTCCAGTTCATGATTTCACTACCCAAGCTTCCGTTCACAGTTCCAATCTCGAGGCCATAGTTTGCAATTCGGATTTAGAAGCCTCCGTTTGCTATTCTGATCTCAAAATTGGTTTATCCGGTAAGTGTTCCATTTAGAAATTTAAACCAACCGAGTAATTAAATAAAATGCACGAACAAAAATAAATACAACTAATCTGACACTGGTTAGTAAAAAAATAGTCTTAATACTAAAAAATTATGAACCAAACCATCAAGTTTAATATGTTAACCAATCAAAATTACATGGTTAATAATTACACCGAATACTAGACCATGTTCGTTTTTTTATCCAGATGCAAATACTTAAATATTGTTCGTTTGTGTTATGAACTATTATGTGATGTCCATTATAATTCCATAAGGCTCACCTTCTAGAAGGTTCTAGAGTTACTTGTAAGCTAGGTTTTACTTTGTCACAATCCTCTCTTTGTACTCCTACATAAAGGACCACTTATTCATTGGAATAACATAACACAAATTCCTTCAATCTTTTTTCTCTATTCACAACACGTTATCAGCACGAAACTCTAGCTGTCTGAGCTAAGAAGTATACAAATTTGCTTCTTAGAATTTATTTATTTCAACTTCAAATCATGTTTATTATCAACTCATGGTTTGTAAGAATGGATCATTAATCAGTATTATGATAGTTTTCTGCAGAGATTCAAATCGTATGTTTATTTATTTTTTATTTTTTTACAAGATCAATATTATGATAAATTCTTTTGAAGAGATTTACATAATCAATATTATGATGAATTCTCTTGTACAAATTCAACTTATATGTTTATTGTTCCTTAAAATCATATATTGCTTATATTATTTATGCACATGATTTGCATGAAATTTGTTAAATTGAATCTTATTCATTAAAATGAATATTGCCTCATATTGTTTCTGCACATATTCATTAAATCGAATATTTTCCATATTGTTTTTGCACAGAATCGTTTTTACACGAACTTTGCATGGATTTTATTATGTCATTATTCGAATCTAGATTTCTGTTTTAAAATCTGCACTAGTTTCTATTTTCAATATTAACTCGGAGTTTGCACATATATGATTATCTGAATTTTGCACTGGCAGTTTATCTTGAATTCATTAGAATTTCACGAGATTTGCATATATATCCTGATTTTTGCACAAAATTATTGCATCAGGCTTGTATGTTCTCACGAGATTTGCACTGTTGTATCAAAATTTGTTTATTCTCATGATCACAAAATTTGCATATATTTTATTATATAATCTCTTTTGATAATTTATTGATTGAGTTATTTTATGGCATATTATCTTTATTTAAATTATATATATAAGTCATATCTTATATATAATTATTATTTTCTGTCTTCATATCTTTGATTAGCTTAAGATTAAGTATTTGATTATAGAGCAATCTAAAGAAAAAGCATATCACCAAAATGTGATATGACCTAATTTATTATAGATGATTGCATCTAAGACCACATGACTTGAAGTCTCAAATGAAGATAATATAAGTGATACAAAGATGCTAGAAAATATTAAATAAATATTTTTGTCCTGCAGACATAATAACATTAAAGATATTTTGAGAAGTATTTTAAAATTATTTATTCTCTTTTAAGCTTTTTAAAAAAATTCAAATTGTCATTTGAAGTGATAATAGAGATGGTACATGCCACTGATTTAGTTGGTTTAATATGCTTTTGTTTATATATATCTAGTTGTATAATAGTTATTTTTCTACCATTATTTGTATGAATACTTTGTATTTGATTATAAAAGATCCCTAAGTTCTTTACATAAATCTAAGGAAAAGTATAATCACTATAATGAGATATTACCTAAAGCTCATTATGAGTCTTTACATATAAGATAATAAGACTTGAAGTCTGTAAATAATTCTTATTATGGTGAAGATTATGTGAAGAGAATATTACTAATCTAGAGATGCTAGAAGACATACTCTAATCCTTAGACAAACAATATTGTCTTGTAGACAATATGAAATGAAGTTAAAGAACTATTTTGAAAAGATAAATGAGTTACTGATAAAAAGTCATAAATTATATCTAATTAGTTATGATCCATTCCTTGAAGAGAGTGTGACATTATATAGTGGGATAGAAAAGAATCATGTTAATAAAATTAGCCAAGGAACTGGCTTAAGAAGTGGTCATGAATGTGAATATGAAATGGATATGATCAAGGTCTAGATCAAAAGTTTTATTTCAAGAACTCAAATTCTTACAAGAAGTGAGAAAATAAAGATGGTATAAACAAGAGGTAAATTTCTTGTCTAAAGATGAAATAAACCAGTGTGAGTACAAGATCTGGTAATATATGGATTATTGAAAGCTCCAGAAGAATATATATATTTACCAGTAGGAATGCAATTATTGATGCATTATATCTCCCAAATCTCAAAAGTTTAAAGAACTAAAGATATAAGACATTATCCAAGTTGGATATGTTATTGATTTTAGATTGGTATTCAATTCAAAATAGATGAACCTGAAGTGTCATCATCTCGAAGGGGAGAATTGATGAATCCCACAATCCATAGTAAGTAAAACATCTAAAAAATTATGTTCAAAGTCAAAATGATCTTGAAGAATTATTTAAGGTAATTTTAATAGATTTCAAAGTTAATCAAGTTAAGACAATAAAGAAGGAAAATTTGAATACCTTCAAATCTAGAGAATTACTAAATGCAGTAGAAGTATTTTGGAGAAATTACATACACTCTCTAATAGATTCACTACAAGAATAATGTAACATAGCTACAAATTTTGTTACAGAACAAAATTGTAGCTTCATTTTGTTACAATTTGCGACATTTTGTTACGATGTAAAATTATTATTAATTTGTAGCAAATTTATAATTATTTGTATCGAATTAGCTACGATTTGCGATGTCAATTTAGTTGTTGCAAAATTGTTTCAAAAAGCTTCAAAAAATGTAATAATAATAGTAACAAAAATGTTTGTAACAAATTTGTAAGTTTCTTTATAAAAATAGAAATTGATAGGAAAATAGTAGGAAAAAGTTAAATATTATTGGTTAGTAAGTGGTAGGAATTAATTTTCGTAAAAAAATCAATGAGTAACTTTTTTACCATTTTCCTACCACTTACTTACCAATAATATTTAACTTTTTCTACTATTTTCCTACCAATTTTTATTTTTAGTTGTTGCAAAATTGTTTCAAAAAGCTTCAAAAATGTAACAAAAATAGTAACAAAAATGTTTGTAACAAATTTGTAACTTTCTTTATAAAAATAGAAATTGGTAGGAAAATAGTAGAAAAAGGTTAAATATTATTGGTAAGTAAGTGGTAGGAATTAATTTACGTAAAAAATCAATGAGTAACTTTTTTACCATTTTCCTACCACTTACTTACCAATAATATTTAACTTTTTCTTACTATTTTCTTACCACTTACTTACTAATAATATTTAACTTTTTCCTACCAATTTCCTACCACTATTTTGACACATTTTCCTACAATTTTATTTCGTTGGAAATTTCCTACGAGATATCTACCACATTCGATTTTAAATTCCAAAACTTAAATCTTAAATTATATACTCAAACCCTTAAATATTATATTTAAACATAAAACATATTTAAAAATTATAAAAATATAATTTTTCATTGGTTAATCATATACTTTAAACCTTAATCTTTAAATATCTAAACATATATTAAGTCATAATTCAACTATCCTATTAAACTACTTCTTCAAACCCTTATATCTAAACTTGTATATACAAAAAATGCAACCCTTATAAAAAATTATACATTTTTTTCATTGCTTAGCATAATCTTTGTCCAAACTTTGTATAAAATTTACATATTCTCAAACACTTAACAAATTTTCAAATATATCAAAATTTTAATATCCACACTTATAAAAGATTTCAGAAATATTTAAATCTAATCATTTTCTAAATCACAAATTTTAAATTCTAAATCATAAACCCAAAATTCCAAATCCTAAAACTTAAATCTCAAATTCCAAATTATGAATTCAAACCCTTAAATTTTACACTCAAACATAAAATCTAAATCCAAAATATAAAATGTAATTTTTTTAACTAATAAAATTAATTATGAATGAAACATGCCATTAAATTATTTTGAAAATAATATTTTAAAATAAAAATGTTATTACAAACATAATATTTAAACTTTTAAATTGCTGATAAAAATGATAGTTTTTCATTGGTTAATCACTAGATATGAGGATCACACTTCCTTTTATTCTCAATCATCGATAAAACTAAATCTAATGGCCTAAATTTTTTCAGTCTTTGTAAATCTTATCACTTTCTCCTCTACTTTCTAGACCTCTTCTTCTACTCAGCGTCTCTCCTTCTTCAGGTTTTCTTCTTTCCACTCTGTCTCCTTCATCTTCCTCTTCTTCTTCTCCTTCCTCGTTTTCTTCAGGTCGACCGCCAATGTTCCTCTTCCGTGCCACAGATCTACCGCCTTCAATACACCGTAAGTCTTCTCTTCTCCTTCTTCCTTTCGTTCTTTTCTTCTCCTTTATCTTCTTTAGATCTAACTTTTTTTTTGTTTGTTCAGATCCGTCACCGTCATCGTTCCATTACCGATGGAGGACGGAGGCGAGGAGTGTAAAATAACCGGCGGAGGCGAGGCGTGGATGGACGACGGAGGCAAGGCGTGGATGGAGGACGGAGGCGAGGAGTGGAGCAGCCGTGGAGGACTCGCCGATGCCGGAAACAGATTTCGAAGTGGGCGGCGCTGAATGATAATAGATTAGGTTAATTTTTTTGGTGTTGTTCCCGGTTAAACCGGTTGGTTTGATCTGATTTCAGTTTTGTAAATTTTATTTATGTCTCGGTTTGGATTATTAATATAATATTATTAAAAATATCGATTGTTTTTATTTAATTTAATTGTGTATTGTTTTGTTTTTAGCAAAATATGAATTTTATATAAAAAATAGTTTAATTTATTTTTTTTATTCTTGTTTTCAAAAGCCACGATATAGTCACACTATTTTCGTAACTGTGTTACCATAACTAATTCGTGGCTACATTTGTTACGGAATAAATGTAACACATTTAAAGTAAATTGTTACAGTTTTTATCTGTTGTTAATTTGAAGCTATTTTGAACACAATATTTGCTACAACTACATAGTTACTAATTGTAGCAAAAATGAAATTTGCTACAAAATTTTATTCATAGCTACAGATTTTTCTGTAACTATGTTTGATATTTCTTTTGTAGTGATTGTAATATATAAAAATTGTATAATGGAGATAAATGTTATATAGTAAACTAGAAGTTTAAAGAATAAGCTGGTTAGACCATTCTGGTTCAAAAAATATACAGAAATAATTAATAGGTTTATAGATATTTATTGAAGAACTTGAAGATTTTTCTTAATGATTTAATCATATGACAAATATTGTATTATGATTTTCACTAGCTAAAATAGATTTGAAATCTATATCATTTCCTAGAAAGTTTACAAGGAAAAGTTTGTGGTTAAGTAATTTATTATATTGAATATCTGCAACTTGAAGTTTGCTTGACCCCTTGGCAATGTTAGTGAATTCACGTCTTAAGCCTTTGATGATAAAATCATAAAGATAAATATTGAACATCCAATAGTAAATGTTCATACACAAAATCTAGAAATATTAATTCGCATAAAGCCAACAAGTAATCAAAGTTCTCCCATCAAATCTGGTTTTGGGTCAGAAACCAAATATTTTCCATCTAAATGATTTGGAGGTGTAGTATATATCCACATTGCTCCACCACAACGTTATAAGATGGATCCTCAAACGAGGTTGAGAATATATGTTGGATATAAATCTCCATTGATAAATAAGTATGTAGAGTCCATCCATGAAGGATTTATATTAGGCTCGATTTGTAGACTGTCATTTTAATATGTCAGTAATTCCAATATCAGGGGGAGAAAAGAAACAGCTGGAAAAGATAAGTTGGAATGAACTATCATTGATCCTCGGACTAAAGAATGTGAATGAAAGTCCAAAAGATAATTCATTTACAACGTTTAATAAATCAGTTGCCAGAAACATTTACTGATCCAAATAGAGTGACAAGATCACATACCAGCTATAAAGGCTCCAATAAAATTTAATGTTCCAGAAGGACAATATCAAGCTGCTAAAAAGTTTAAAGAACGCATGAAGCGTGATAGACTCATTGGTTCCAAACATAAATATCCTCAAAAAAGGAGCAGAATTGACAATGGTCAGACTGAGGAGATAGATTTTTGAATGATCTCAAGAAGAGACATTAAACATGACAAGAAAGAAAGTCAGGTACCTGAGACAACTCAACAAATTATGTCATGTGTAGTATAAAGTGGAACCGAAAAACAAATCGACGTCGTAAATATTTTTGCATGCAATATAGCAGTTGATATGATAAATAAGAAAGAGGATCACAAAATCTATTGCAAAGTGTACACAGAGAAATGATTGGCCAAATTATAAAGAAGCAATAGTCATATAGTTAAAATCTCTTGAAAATAGATGAGCATTTGGACCAGTTGTCCATACATTTAATGGTGTAAAACCAGTGGGATATAAAAAAGACTTTATATGAAAGAATGATATATGTAAAATTAAATATGAAGAGACAAACTCTTATGTGGTGAATGCAACTACTTTCAAGTTCCTTATCAGTCTGGCAATAAGAGAAGAACTTTACTTATACTACCCACTGGATAATGATACTTCAATAAAAATCCCAGAAGGATACAAATTCCCGAAGGGTTAGGATTGTCAAAATTATGTTCCTGAAGATTCTAATTATTCGATCGAATTAAGACAAAAACGTTTTATGTGGTATGAGTGAATATTATAAGGTTAACCAATGTACCCATATTTATTTACCAAAATATTATGGATCAAGAAGATCATAGATTTGAATATAATCAAATCTCTTGAAGAGTTATCCCAAATTGTAATTTGGAAGAAAAATCTTTGGAAAAGATGACATTGTCTTCAAGTGTTCCAAATTGAGATATTTAAGTGATAGAGATACTATCTCAAATGATCCTTGAAGAATTTACATAAAGAATGCTCACAATATTTTGATCCTGGATAATACTTAAATTGCTAGTTGAGCAATGTATTTATCTATTTCATGATTGAAAGATATGATTTAGTATAACAAGAAAGAAAGCTAAAATAGTAAAGAAGAGCATGAATAACATCTTATGTATAAGTATGTACCATACAACTTTAGAATGTTGTAAGTTAAATGAAGCTTAGACTTGAAGTTCAAAAGATCAAGAAATAGTTGTTTATATGAAAAAGTTGTTATGGACAAGAACTCCAGTAACCTAACAGATTATAAGATAATCATATGAGTTTATTCATTAAGCTTATACTTATAATGATTGCCAAAAGATGGTATATGATTGGAATGCATCTCCTGAAGAAGATACTTCCAAGGGGGGAGAAATATGATGATGTGTGCGGTTGTACTCTTTTTTCTTATCATGGTTTTTTATCCCATTGGGTTTTTCCATGAAAGGTTTAAATGAAGCAACAAAGAATACACAAATGATAGACATCTAAAGAGAAATATAAAGATGAAACTTTACCATCCCTCCAAAGTATTTGTAATACTTTAATAAGATCAAGTAATGAGAATGATCAAGACGAATCATTATCAAGAGTCATGCATTGTGGAAGAATGGTGACGTATGTATCCTACAAATTCATTCAAGTGAAGATTCGACAGACAGATTTACCAAAGCGTTACTTTCAAGAAGTTATCTCATCATATTAGATTGCGTCATCTCAAAGATATCAAGTGATGTAGTCATGAGGGGGATTTAATGCGCATTGCACTCTTTTTTCTTTAGCTATGGTTTTTTCCACTGGGTTTTCCTAGCAAGGTTTTTAACGAGGCAGCATCCTACGCGCTTTAAAGAATAATTTGTATAATGAAAATCAAGGGGGAGTGTTATGAACTATTATGTGATGTCAATTATAAGCCCATAAGGCCCACCTTCTAGAAGGTTCTAGAGTTACTTGTAAGCTAGGTTTTACTTTGTCACCAAGTAAAACCGTCTCTTTGTACTCCTATATAAATGACCACTTATTCATTGGAATAACACAACACAAATTCCTTCAATCTCTTCTCTTTATTCACAACAGTTTGAACATTTTTAAACCAGCGTCTAGATATTACATCTGGATGCAAAATAAAAAATATCTTAAAAATCTGGATATTTGAGATGTTAGAAAAAGTAGGTTCTAGATGCGGCATTTGCATCTCAAAAACCAAAAGACCAAAATATTCTTTAATATAATACAAAAAATGCAACTACACTTATATTTATTACTTTACTAGATGATGGTCCACGCATGGCGCGGACAATGAATATTTATTAAATTTATTTTGTCAACACAATCAGAAGCTAAATTTAGCTATGAGAAATCATAGAAGTCTAAGATAGTTATAACGAAAATAAGTGATCATTCAAACAACATATATCATGCTAGCGTTTGTTTTTGAAGTAGCACTATTAGCTATCAGATGATATCTTTTTAAACATGAAAAGTAATTAACACAGAGATTTTATAAGAGTTGCGTAAATTGAACCCTTACTAATCCTATTTTATTCAAGAATATTTAAGCATAATAGTTACAAGAACAGTTGATCATTATCACACGATCTAAATATTTATTTGCAAAAACGAATTCTTATCTTACAACATATATGACAACTCATATGCCTCTTGAAGATCATGATTGAACAAAACTCTTGAGACACCGAGATGATCAGTAACACGATATTCCTCTACAAAAAGTTGATACTCACTCAAAAGCCAAAGATCAATGATAATTCTAAGATAATAGCATAATTGTCATACCATTGCATACAACGACACGCCAGTCACTTAGCACACAAATGACCAATTGTTATGTACTATAACACCACCTATTGTTGAATACAATGGCCAATTTTCCGTGTGCAAAACACTTGATCATCCTATCACTAAAACTATGTTAGGCTGAATTGTTCCGTACTAAAACCATAACATTTCTTAATTAAAAATCCCAATCTGAATCAAAGAAAGAGAAAAAATGCAAGCAAAAACGTACTTGATCATCAAGTAGTATGAAGTGAAGAACATCACCAGCGTCTGGTACCAATTCAAGCCATCTTTTATGAACCATAAATCTGATAGTCCAATCCGTTCTCGAAGAACACAACTGACTAATTTTAGTAATTCTGGCAATTTTTAGGATTTTAGAGAACAGGCGAAAATCGTTAAAGATATTACTACTTTTCAAGAAGCAATACCTTTCCTGCAAACTGAACTCACGACCATCAGCAGCCATAAGCCTGGAAGCTCTATCACCAAAACGAAACGATGAAACCTAATCAACTATCCTCTCTTGCAAGCTACCTGCGGCACAACGAAAACTCAAAAGTCAAAATCAAAACAGCAAGAAACAAAACATAATGCATGAAACAAAAACAAAACCCTAAAATATGACATACACGTCAATAACCAAAAAATAAAACCGATGCAGTTGTTTAGATGAATGGGATATATGCAAGTATATATAGCTACTAAAATTCTAGGGTTTTCATTTTGTAATATAGTTTTGAGAGTCCATTGGATACAAATTTCAAAAAACCCATCTCATACATCATATTAGAACCGGTTTAAGAATTTAAATTACTATAATCGTTTTCTAAATACGAACCAAACAAAACCAGTAGATTTAAAATCCGAATATTTCCACCAAGGGCAGAAGGCACTAACCCCTCTGAGAGGAGCTGTGGTGCGTTTCTCACTTCGCAAATAATATATTAGATTGCTATAATCGTAAAATAAAAAGAGTAAAATCATAATTACCA